CAGAAGTTAGAATTCACGTACCGCTGGATTGGGTCCCAATATATTTATGGTCTACGAGCTTGTCTCACAGCTGAAAGGTCCAGGGTGCGAACCATGTTGGTGTGTCTTTATTGCTGAGAAGCCCCAAACTAATAGGAAGCAGTTATGTAGAAGCACTCCTAGGTCGTTTTCCAATGGTCTTCTAACTGATGTCAATTTGTCATCAATCCTGTAAACCAACAAATCCCTGGAAGCCAAAACTTGATTCTACATTTTTGCATCATTTACGGATGTATCATGAAGTAGTATCACAGTCACAATACAACTTCTAAAAAACGCAAAATTTACATCAGCTGTAGGTAGTTATAACTGATGGTTGAGTAGACTTTTTTAGCTACAGAAAATATATACCACAATGTAAAAGATATAAAATGGGTTAAAAATCCAGGAACTCAATAATAATGCACTTGGCATGGATCATTGAAGTAGCTTGATCGAACCAGTCAGGTCCCAAAAGATTTAAATCACTCTTGGTGACGTAACAAATTCCTGTGAATTTGATATTGCGGAAGGAAACAGAACATTTGAGTTCACCAATTAGTTTGAGGTGCCCACCACAGGCTTTGACAGCAGTCTGAGAAGTATTTGCGATTGGTGGTCTGCTAATATCATTCCAAAGTTTCTTTGATATAACAGTAATATCAGAGGCGGTATCTAGCTGCAGACGTGCACCATTCATCTGAAGATCAAGATATTTCCGCATACATAGAGTTGTGACTTGACAGGCTGCGAGTAGACTCATTGACCTTTTCGGGGATTTAGGACCAACAGTTTGGCGAGCTTTCGCTGGATTATGACATCTACGTTTGCGTGGCTGACAAAAACCATTTTTTGACCGATGATTTTTCACTTGCTGCAACGATGATTTTTGTATGGACAGGAATTTACAAAATGCCACGCGCCCCAATGCCAGCATGGTGATGGTAGGGTCTTCTTTGCGGTACTTTGTGAGGTTGGACTAGTATGTGTAGGCTTTCGTGGAACATTAAAAGGTGGGTCAGGACTGGATGATGAGAGATTTTTCTCTTTCGTAATGCATGAATATCAGAGCTTCTCGGAGGTGTTGATTCGACCAGGTGTGTGTCTTTCTGCAAATTAATCAGCCGTTGATATTTGTCAGCTATGTCATGTAGAGTAAACTTATTATTTTTCTCTAGCTGATTGAGCAGTCGAGTTTTGATATCTGTGAAACGAGGAGATTGAAGACTCAATATAGGAATCAAGACTTTGAATTGGTCATCTGTTAAGGACCTGAGTCAAAATCTCTCACATTTTCGGTTGACTGTGCCAACGTGAGTGAGAAAATCATCATTTTCATTCATTGTCAGCTTGAGGCAACGATAGCGTATGCTGAATAATGAGGAGTGGTCTCCGAAATGTTCACGCAGCAGCTTTATTGTATCATCGAAACTCTTGTCACGTGGTTTCTGCGGTAAAATTAGGTTGCAGTACCGTTCATATTCTGCCGGACCCAATTTACGTAACAGCACTCGCACCTTCCAGGCATCGTCTTGTGAGGCGAGATCAACAGTGAATAACTCCTCATAACGTTGATACCATGTGTCAAAAGTGACATTAGCATCTGGATAATAACTGAACTGTGAAATACTATTCGCAATGCCGTCGACAGATGGTAGCATGGTATGATTCAGATTGCTTGAAGGTGAAGTTGAACCAGTCTGTTGGTTGACGAACATTTCCATTAATTTCATTTGTTGTTCAAATAGTAATTCCAATTTAGAAGAATCCATAGTTTTCCCCGTCGTTGTAGGTAGTTATTAACTCTGGGAGTATAACTGATGGTTGAGTAGACATTTTTAGCTACAGAAAATATATACCACAATGTAAAAGATATAAAATGGGTTAAAAATCCAGAAACTCAGTAATAATGTACTTAGCATGGCTCATTGAAGTAGCTTATCTGTAAACACGAGTACTGACATCTATTTGTTCCATAAAATTGGAAGGCAACTGCAGTAAGGCTGCCAATGATTTTCCTGATTTCAGTGGATTGGATAATGCGACAGAAAACGGGCAATGTGGAAACAGGCATAAAATGGACACATACAAAAAACTTGGAGGATCTGGACTTCGCCGATGACATATATATGTCTGATTTCCCACAAACTGGAAGATATGCAAATGAAAAGCAACAAAGTGGCACAAGAAGCATCCAGAAAAGATAGAACCTCAGGTGAACATAGAGAAAACAGAGGTAGGTGATGAAGACTCCTGGCCAACACCAACAGCAGCAGCAACAACAACAGACAACAATCAGCCAGCATAAGTGGGAGGAACCTGAAAGAAACAACCTCCTCTACCCACCGACCTGGGAAGCATCGTTTCAACTACAGGCGGACGAAACTGACGAGGATATGGAAGCCAGAATCGGAAAAGTAAGACAAGCTTTCCTTACTCTCAAGTCTGTATGGGGTCAACAGCACTCAGCACGAAAATTAAGATCCGGATTTTCAACTCCAATGTGAAGTCAGTCAGTGCTACTATACAGATCAGAGACTTGGCCAGCGCGTCATATAGAGCATCTCAAACAAACTTCAGGCGTTCATCGACAGCTGCCTTCGCTCACTACTACTACTACTCAGGATCAGATGGTTGGGCAGAAAAGATCAGCAACAATGATCTCTGGCAATGAGCGAACCAACCAGGAACCGATTTTGCAACAAATAGGCAGGAAGAAATGGAGATGGATTGTCTATAAGCTGTGGAAACCATCAAGTGACATCACTAGACAAGCCATTGCTCGAGTGGAACCCGAAAGGGAAGCGGCGAGTTGGTCGTCAGGGTGAGGGTGACTTGGAGGAGGTCATTTGAAGAGGAGATGAAAGCATGTGTGCGGACTTTGATTGAGGTGAGACAGCTGGCAGAGAAGCTGATGTAGTGGAGACGCGCAGCTGAAGCCCTATGTTCCTCTAGGAATAAAAGTATATAATAATAAATAATAATAACCTTAGCTACTAAATTATCCTGTTCTGAAAATCTAACTACCACTCACGATCTACTAGTGTGACAGACTAACCTGTGTATTTTGTTGACTGGAATCATAGTCATTGCAAGGCATTTTGCGAGTTATGTTTTTTCGTCTAACTGGGTCAACCTGCAGGGTCTTTTAACCTACTTACAGAACTTGTCCTACCTGAGTGAGTTTTAAGTCTAAATGCCACCACACTAATTGCCGGTTTAAATAAGAATCCTGCACGTCGCATCTAAGATATCACCCCGCTTTATTGTAAAACTACTGTGGATACTTTATATTCTTTCTTATATATGTTGTCATTATTAGTTTTACGATTATTTGTATTTTGCTTTCGGTAGTTTTTTGATCTTTCTAATGCATTTTATACGATGACAATTTAACAACAACGCGTCTTCTTCTATCTGTTTCATTTCATCATTTCGGTTTTTGGATGTACTACTTAGTGTTGTTATTGCTTAGTTTGCTGGACATTTATAAGTAAGCCTGCCTTCACAGATGAGATGTGAGTTAAAGTCTAAATATCTATGAGAATTGGTTGGCTTTTCATAAACGCTAGTGTACAGTTAAGCTTCTTCTGTTCGTTTTATTTTACTGTCTAACATAGCTAATTCTCCATGTTCATTTTCCGATTCAAATGTGAATTTTATTCTCCCTACTATTGAGTTTATGTGTGTGAAGTAACTAGAGGTATGTTCTGTTTTTAACACTATGAAAGTATCATCCATATTTCTTCACGTATCTTCTGAGTAGGATTAAATGTATTATTGTCTGCCACGATAGGGGATGTTTGTGATCCATCCCATTGCTACACCTTCTGTTTGTCTATATATTTTGCCTTGGAATTTAATGATAGCAGATGTGAGGTATAACTGAATTCCTAAAATAATTTTCTCAGTCACCAGCTTTGTCCTATTAGTAAATTTCGGATCAGCAGTTGGTTCTTTTTTCACCACTTATAAGGTCATATTGATTGGTACATTAGTGTAAAGACTAGTTATATCAAGACTTGCCATTTCTTCATTGTTCTCTAATTGAATGTCATTTAGTTTTTTTTTTTAATTTCGTATGATTTAGTTTCTGTGTGTTTGAACGATTTCTAATGGGACATAATATCAGAGCTAAATGTTTTGATAATTCATAAAAAGGGGAGTTTCTGAACTTTTATATTGGTCGTGTAAGGTAAGCTGGGTTGTGTATTTTTATAGCGCCATATATTCCACTATCATAATTAGTCTTAGATATTGAGTTAAACCATTTAATCTTTTTATTATATCTAGGCTTCTCAATTTCCTTATTAGTTTGTTTATTAGATATATCACACAGTGAGACAGTATTATTTACTGGATGACGTTTCGAACACAATTTATTGTTCATAGTCATGTCAATTGTAATCACACGACATTCAAACTTGAGTTTTATAGTTTTCTTTCTCTTCGCCTATTTGTCTTAGGTGTAGTAGAATTTTCCAGATATCCGGCTGGACAGGTGATGAATCATTCCTATTACATGTATTGCAGTTGATTCGATAAACAAAGCTTCTGTTATCAATCTCTCCCTCCCTCCACCCTGTGACATTAGATTTTAAAACTGTCATCCTGTCCCATCCTATTGTAAGGCTGTGTGTAACTGCATGTAGTGATTGCGATAGCTGAACTATTCTCTAGATTTCTTATCTTATTTGGGTCAACCAATCTAGATTTTGCTGCTGGGTTTTTATGTTCGGCTAGTCTGACTCACTGCCCCTGTTCTACTAGTTTGACCTATGTATTTGACCTGACAATCATTGCAGTCAGGTAGGGTATTAGATAAACTAAATTGTTTTGTTTTAAAGGCTCCACAGGATCCTTCAACCGACAAAGCTTGTTTCTAATTAAGTTTGTGGGTGGTTTGAATGCCAGCCTTTTTTATTCCTTATTGAAAGTCGCGTCGTCAGTCAAGTCAACAATACAATCAGCTTCATTTAATCATGGAGAATCAGTACAATTATCCAACTGATGATAGAATTCGACAACAGCAAGCCAAAGTCCAAGAGGTCGTTGGGATTATGAAGGATAATGTTAACCGTGTCCTGGAGAGAGAAACCCGTCTGGCAGAAATCGATACTCGAGCAGATGAATTACAAGTGCAATCAAAACAATTTCAAGCCGTTGCTGGTCGTGTACGAAGGAAATACTTTTGGCAAAATATGAAGATGTGGGCTATTTTGGCTATGCTGGGTCTTGTAATTCTTGTGATTATTATAGTGTGGTCAGTATCTAACAGGAAAACTTAGTTCCTTCTTTCCATCTTCGATCCATACTAACTGTGAACACTCCTGTTCATCTCAAGCAAAATACTAGGCCGCATCATCCTGGAGAGAATCAAACAAGCCAACCTGGATGCAAAACTTCGACCGGAACAAGCTGGATTCAGGAGAAACAAGTCAAGTATTGATCAAATCGCCACTCTACGGATCATCATTGAACAAAGCTTGGAATGGCAGTCACCTCTCTACCTCAACTTCATCGACTTTGAAAAGGCATTCGACAGCGTCGATCGAGAGGTGATTTTGCAACTACTTCGCTACTACGAGGTGCCGCCGACAATTATACATCTCATCCAACAGCTATACTACAATGCTGCATGCCAAGTAATCCACAACGGGAAACTTATGGAAGCCTTCGAAGTGAGGACGGGAGTGAGGCAAGTCTGTCTACTACCGCCAGTGATTTTCCTGATTTCAGTGGATTGGATAATGCGACAGAAAACGGGCAATGTGGAAACAGGCATAAAATGGACACATACAAAAAACTTGGAGGATCTGGACTTCGCCGATGACATATATATGTCTGATTTCCCACAAACTGGAAGATATGCAAATGAAAAGCAACAAAGTGGCACAAGAAGCATCCAGAAAAGATAGAACCTCAGGTGAACATAGAGAAAACAGAGGTAGGTGATGAAGACTCCTGGCCAACACCAACAGCAGCAGCAACAACAACAGACAACAATCAGCCAGCATAAGTGGGAGGAACCTGAAAGAAACAACCTCCTCTACCCACCGACCTGGGAAGCATCGTTTCAACTACAGGCGGACGAAACTGACGAGGATATGGAAGCCAGAATCGGAAAAGTAAGACAAGCTTTCCTTACTCTCAAGTCTGTATGGGGTCAACAGCACTCAGCACGAAAATTAAGATCCGGATTTTCAACTCCAATGTGAAGTCAGTCAGTGCTACTATACAGATCAGAGACTTGGCCAGCGCGTCATATAGAGCATCTCAAACAAACTTCAGGCGTTCATCGACAGCTGCCTTCGCTCACTACTACTAATCAGGATCAGATGGTGTTATAACGGTAGGGAATTCAATGAAGACGTTTTCACCTTGCTCTGTCCGCGCCTGAACTAATCTGCCTATCTGCTTGTCGTACCTTCCGACTTAGTAAAGCACGCAAATATCAAAAGACAAAGGCTGGACTGTGACTGTGTATTGAAGTGCCACAACGACAAAGAAAGCCATGGTATTTATACATTTTACAACAATATGGACAGCTGACAGCATTTGAAATAATTGATCTTAATAGCCAATAACAAAGTGTATGAGAGATGATAATATACCATATGTGCCAGATTGACAGTCAATAACAAAATGTGTGAGAATGATAATATACCATATATACAAGATTAACAGTCAATACCAAAATGTGTGAGAATGATAATATACCATATATACAAGATTAACAGTCAATACCAAAATGTGTGAGAATGATAATATACCATATATACAAGATTAACAGTCAATACCAAAATGTGTGAGAATGATAATATACCATATATACAAGATTAACAGTCAATACCAAAATGTGTGAGAATGATAATATACCATATATACAAGATTAACAGTCAATACCAAAATATGTGGGATCCCATCAGATGGTTGGCCAGAAAAGATCAGCAACAGAGATCTCTGGCAATGAGCGAACCAACCAGGAACCGATTGTGAAACAAATAAGCAGGAAGAAATGGAGATGGATTGTCTATACGCTGTGGAAACCATCAAGTGACATCACTAGACAAGCCATTGCTAGAGTGGAACCCGAAAGGGAAGCGGCGAGTCGGTCGTCAGGGTGAGGGTGACTTGGAGGAGGTCATGTGAAGAGGAGATGAAAGCATGTAGGCGGACTTGGAGCCAGGTGAATACTCATGTGGAGAAACTGACGTAATGGAGACGCGCAGCTGAAGCCCTGTGTTTCCCTAGGACTCAAAGGAAATAATAATAAGTAAGGAAAATAGGCATGAAAGTGAAAGTTGTTTAGTTAACCTAGCCACTAACAACAACAATAATAATGATCAACACTCATTACCAAGAAAAGAAATCTAAGGGAGATCACCTCCTTCACTCATCTAGTTAGCATCGCTTAAACTATACGGGTAGTAACGCGGATGAAGATATCAAAGCCAACTACGACCAGAATAGCATGACAGACTCTCACCAATCTCTTAATCAGTGTGTGAATGTATTGCATTCACTGCTTCGACTGGGTTCACAGACTTGACGTACAAACCACTAAAAGTATTTCCGATAGGCTACCGCAGACTATCAGTGACAGTTGACTGCAATCTGAAGACAGTAACAAACCATGACAACGAACGAACCAATCGAGAACCTTTTGCTGAATAAATTCGCTGACGGAGATGAAGATAGCTGGGAATACCCCTGAGTGACAACACACTCCAGGTCTCCGAGTGGAACGCTAACGAGGAACGATCAGCTGGATGTATGCCGGACGGTGTCGCATATGGGAGATCGTATCAGGGGAAGATGACAAACAGCTTATGGGAAATTGTGAGGCCAGCTAAAAAAGACTGCACAGAACACAATGAAGAAGAGATGTGCTGGTGAAACTCGATGTTTCACGCTGAATCCATTGAAGTAATAATAACAATAACAACTTGAGAACATTGTGCCTCGAAGAAGGTAGATAGATGAATACTTTTTTACGACTGAAGAGCTACCTAGATGTAAGTTAAAATTAGAAGAATTATCCGATATTTTCTATCAGTTAGAAAAAGGAAATGGATTCATGTTGTTTTTCTAGCTCTTAAAATCAACAGTTTGAATAGTATGGTGCTTATTAAGTGTACTCTGTTTCGTTTTATTTTCAATTAGTGAGCTGAAACGGATGTTTACCTGCTTCTAATAGTAATAGTAATAATAATAAATGCGTTAGTGAGTATCATTGTTGTTCCGTCTAATAGTAAAATATCCATGAGTTTTCTGTTCCCACTCCCTTATAATCTTTTAAAATTTTTTTGTATGAGTTGGAGAACAAAAGAGTGCTGACAATTGAGGTTTGTATAGGCTTATGAATGCATCAAAAACATCCTGCTTAAAGAATATTTTTTTTAAAAATAAAAGCCATTTAAAACAGATAAATACTACTACCGTTACGATTAGCAGTGAGTGATATAGTAAGTAGGTAGGTAGCACTGGCATAACTTCGATTTGTTTTTTCCATTGTCTTTGAACACTAAACAGGATACATCATTCAGTTGTTTGCTTGTTTGTTTGATTATTCGTTTGTTTTTGTTTTAGACTCACATGATAAATGGGATTTTATTTTTTCCGATTCCATCTGTTTTTTAAAATCAAAGTATTTTACATTTACTTACTTGTTTTCAATCTCTGAATCTGTTCTTCTATGCTCTGTGTCTGTGTGTGTGCGTTTGTGTGTGTCTTTTTAAAGACTTATTCATTTTCGTGGTACATTAACTAAGGATTCATCTTGAATGTTGAATATTATTCCCCCGGGGTTAGGATTAGATCATGGGGTATCAATACCAGATCTCCACTTAATTCTCTTCTATGCATTCTCTGTTTAGCTGGCCTCATTCGTGATTCCCCATGAGCTTGCATTCTCTTTTTCGTACGATCTCCACCATGTAACTCGGAGAAGCTGAACGTTTCGTTTCTCATTCAGGTTCCTCTTGAGGGACCGGTGTCCAGTGTCACTCAGTGGTCTCCTCAGTCTGTCTCTAATCCATTTCCATTTTCTTTGACATATTTTTCGAGCTGCAGGTTCGTGAATGGTTCGTTCCCGAAATTCCTTGTTGCTAATCCCTTCGGGCTAATCATTTCATCTTCAGAATGCAGGTAGAGAAGGCATCTGTTGATAGGAATGCTTTTAGTGACGCACTAATTTTCTGACCCATACTAAAAAGAATAAATTTAACATTTAACGTTTTAAACAAGTTCATGGTGTCATTTGATGTAACCTCCTTGTTCACAATGATTCCAATCAACGAAAGTATTGAGATCATTTGTCAGCAGTCCGATCTTCTCCCAAAGCTAGAGTCGGAATTCAAACACCTACTGCTTATGTGTACCATGGGTGTGCAATTCCAATTTGACAACACTCTTTACCGCCAAATAGATGGTGTAGCTGTGGGCAGTCCACTTGAAGTTGTTTTAGCAGATATATTCATGTCCAACCTTTGAAGAACAAAGTTGGAGCATACAATCGAAGAAACAACTTCCTACTGTTGATATGCTGATGACACATTTATAGTGTGCGACAATGAAAGTCATGCCTCACACTTACTCAGATTATTCAATGATACACACACCAATATTGAGTTTACGATGGAACATGAAAGTGACGAAAAGTTTCACTTCCTCGACATTGTCATGGGACGCCTAGAAGACGTTAGTCTTCAGAAATCAATTTATTGAAAGCCTACATGGAAAGGACAATACTTACATTTGAATAGCTTTTGTCCAAATAGCTTTAAACACGTTCTAGTCAAGACTCTGTACTATAGAGCGAGGAGAATATGCTCCATAGAGAAATTAGAGGAAGAATTCGAGTTTCTTGAAAAGATATTGAAGAGCAGTGGGTACCCTCAACAAACATGGAGGATCTGAAGTCACAAATGTAAAACAAATCACAGTGCTAAAAAGCCAATCTACTTTCAACTTGATTATAAAGGTGAAAACATTGCAGCGATGATCAACAGAAGGCTGAGTATATCACTAGCCATAACCTATCCTGCAGCTAAGCTCATTCCCGTCTATCGAACAACTTGCTCTTTGGTGCAGTCAAAAATCGATAGATATCCTTCTCATGTTGACTTCAACTGTATATACAAATTTACATGTCTCTGCGGGAGCAGTTACATTTGAAGGACAGAAAGAAGAGCATATCTACAACTTTCTGAACATGTACCAAAAAGCTTACGTCTAAAGGAAACAAATATTTAAACAGTGCCATCGCCAGCCATCTCCTTGACACGGGTCATGAGGTGGACGTCGAAAAGTCGTTCAAAATTATC